GCGACTACTGCTGCTGCTGCTGCTCTCCGGCTCATGTTGGTGTTGCTGCTGCCAGTATAAATGTTACTACTACTACTACTACTACTACTACTACTACCGCTACTACCGCTACTACCACTACTACGACGACTGCGACTACTGCTGCTGCTGCTGCTGCTGCTGCTGCTCTCCGGCTCATGTTGGTGTTGCTGCTGCCAGTATAAATGTTTTGCAGGTTGTCAGTGCTGAACCGCACCAGTTCCGATTGGTCACAGGTATGCTACCACAGAGATACGGCTTGCCCATTGCATTCGATGCCATCGGTGAGCTAACGAGCTATAGCTTGATTATGGAATCACTCACGCTCGCTTTCGCCATCTTCGCCTGGAGGCTTGCCCGTTGCATGCACAGTCAAAGACTTCAGACATATACCATCCAAGAGATGTTCCTCTTCCCGTCACTGCCGCCATTGTGTGTGGCGGAATTGAAATGGGAGTCTGCTGTGGCGCTGGCGAGGGTTCTCGCAGTGCAAATGGTGACGGCATATTGGACGAAATCTGGCTTTCACACCGAGTTGCGGCCTTTTCCCACATACTTATGTCTATCTGCGTAGCTAATTAGAAGCAGACAAGGACATGAATCATAACTACGACTGTGTGTGTGTGTGTAAACGTGTGTATGTATGCGTGTATATACATATATATATATATATATATAAATTATGTGTATATGTATACGTAGACATAGATACACATACATGTTTGTGTGTATATATATATATATACATGTGTGTCCAATACACATATGTCAACTTTGTTGGCAAATTCGATCCAAACGATATCCCGACAGGTAGCTATGCGCGTCCCAACCGCACATACCCCTTCGGAGTTGCCGTAAAGTTCCAGTCGCCAAGCCACGATGCGGAAAGGCTAAATTGTTATGTATCTCAGAGTTCCCATCCGGAAGTCCGAAGAAAACCCGAGGTTCTTCTCTGTCCAACTCCATGAGCAGCGTGCGTATGTGTGCATGATACCTTGCACTGGCAACTTAGTACATAAGACCAGCTGCATATACGTGAGCAAGAGACAACACGGAGGGCTTGCCAACCTTTGCCAGCCTGCAGCGGCATCCGTACCTGCCAGCAGATCTTGCAGCAGAGTTGGCCGTAATGAAGAGACCCACAGGGGGGCCAACTCAGCGAATAGATCAGACTTGGCTTGCAAGTAAGGACTATCCTACTTACTAACCCCACCTCCAACCCTCTGCCCTGGAAGCCAATGGTCCAGACTGCCTGCCAAGCATCACAAGGAACTCGAAGACGGAGATCAGTAAGTAAACCCGGTCATGAAGCCCGAAGAATTGCATTGAATTGCACTAGCGATGCAACTATGATAGAGAAGTGGAGAGGCAGAAAGACTAAGAGACAAATTATGTTTTATGTATGTATGCATCTATCTGTCAATACATATATAGGTGGGCGTGTGTTGTTTCTCTCTGTCTGTGTGTATGTATGTATGCATGCACGTATGGAGCACCGGATCCTTGTCAGTGGGATTGTGGAAATTTTGGGACTGCAGCAACCCATACGTTCAAAGCCATGCTGTTCAGTGTGTGTTTGGTTTACTGTGTAGTGTAGCGCTTCAGGTTTTTTGTTTAAACTGAGCACCCGAATCTTCAAGACTCCTAAACCCTGAGCCTGAATGCTGTTTTACTTTGGCATAGATCGAAGACTACGAGTTTGTTTGCAGATTCGAGTTCATTTTTGCTTTCCCATACACTTCCCGCTGAATCCGACCACCTGGTTCAACCCAGAACCAGAACGACCAAAACCCTTTCATAACCCTAAATCCTAAACTTCTACCCCTAGATGCTGAGCTCACAACCCATTATGACTAAGCATCGCCAACTCTGTGTGAGCAGCGTGATGAGGGCTCGGCTGCTATGAGGGTCCCTGTGAACAGCCCTCCAGAGGTATGGGGTGTCTTGAAAACTACGGCTGATGATATAAATCCTGCACTTCCCATTATAAGGAATATACCCTAAACCCTAAACCCTAAACCCCTAAACCCTACACCCTGAACCCTGAACCCTGAACCCTAAACCGTTCCCATAGTTTAGGGTCCTTAAGGTAATGCATGATTGATATCATCAACAGCAGGGCCTGGGGGTACCTTGGGTGACGGGGCGCTGATCTTGAGGATCCCGTCATTTGGTTTCAGTTTTGAAGGGTTCCTTTTAGGCTACAAGGCCTTAAGGGTCCTTTAGCTCTCGCAACCTTCGGGTTTCGGCTTGTTGACCCTAATTATACCTTAAGCCCGAAGCATTAATATAAATCCTCAGATCTCAAAGACCATAGGCACTCAAAGACATGATCAGGCTCCCCTACTTGACAGGATTTGCCCAGGGTTCGGAGGATGAGGGTTTGCGGAGTTGGGTTTTGGTGGTTGCCGTTCAGGCTCTGTTTCGCCGGGGTACTTGTAGAGGGCTTAGGGTTTAGAGGGTTTCTCTCCGGCTGTAAAGACCCCTAGCCTGTTTAACACACCCTCAACATGTCGTAACAGATGCGCAGCACCTTTCCTTCGAAATGCCGGGCTGGCAGCCTAGTCCAACCAGATTGAGGCACGGAATTAACCGCATCATTTAAATGTGTCATGTAGGACCTCAACCCAACGAATACCAAAGGTGAGAATACTGAAGTGGTGCAGGGAAAGTGGTCCAGAGTTCGGGCGGAATCCACAGTTCGACAGCACCCATATGCAAGCCCGAAGAACCAAGTGGCAGTAGTTGTGAAGTTGGGCACGGTTAGTATGAGGACTATTTCGTCAACAGCTGTCGAGTCTTGCATCTGTACTCCAGAGTCGAGGATCACCTTGAACAACTCAATTCCTGAACCATGAACTTGAGCCCTCAAGCTTTCGAGCCTCGATCCTGTAGGTGGCCCTAGACTGTAAGCTTAGTTGACCCTGAATTGCCCTGAATTGTAAGCCGCAATGACGGCCCTAATTCTGAGCTCAACCCTTAAATCTGTCGCAGCTCGAATGGTGGGTGAAGCAGAGGACTCCGAATGAACAGCCGGAGCATTGAAAGAGGCGGCCTGGCGGACCCCCTCCCCCGGATATACAGCTCAGGGTTTAGATTTTCAGTTTTTGATGCGAAATGGGCAAGAGTTGCCAGAAATTCCAACATCCCGAGACTAAAGTCAGACCTAGTTGAAAGTCCCACAGCGTCACATAGCCCGTTGAAGCTGAACAGTCAAAAGCCCAGGGCGGCGGAACGCTCCAACAGACTGGGAGTTTTCTGAATTGGGGTCCGGTCCTGACTGACAAGGTGACATACTCTTTCGGACGCTAATTCATGGAACGACCTATGTGGGTTCGAAACCAGCCAAGCAACCATAGAGATGCTGATGCCATGGCATGCCCATTTAATGCAGTTTCGTCTGTTTGCGCTGTCAATCACGATAATGTCTGCTATGTTGTTTGCTTGACTTGTGACGGGATGCCTTTGTTGCTGATTCTTGCGTTCGTCATGGTCTGCGTAGCCGTGGTGGTACAAACAGTGGTGACGGTAGACGCCTTACGAGTAGAGCCAGCAGCAATCATCATCGCGCCAGCATGTCGGGCATAAAATCCTTTGCTACTTGTCAGGTTCCTTTCAGGGTTCTGCGAGTCGCAGCGGTTGTCGCCAAGTGGGGGCAAGACCGAAGCTGAAGATGCCCATGCTCTTCGAGCATGGGAGCCGCATACAACTAGTCGCAAACACCCCATGTGTGCAGTCTTACATGTAGACTGGCTCCTCACATCTTGATTTATTGTTGACACCGTTAGAATGCTTAGGTGTGATGAAGTCGCAGATAGCAGCGGCTTCGGTTGAGGGAGTCGCTGCTAAAATGAATCAACAACCGTCGGGATGTCCGCCAGAGTCGCAGTTGACCCAGTTTGGATGCCAGAGTGGGTGCCCGATCTTCTCATAAGTACTTGGACTGAGGACAGCCAAGTTTGTATAGTAGATTGGATGTTCTGGGCATTTCTGAACACGAAGCTGCTTGCGCAAGCTGTTTTATAAGTCCATCCGATAGACAGCACAGAAATCAAGGCGCAGAATCTGTTTCAGAAATCCCTACAATGATTCGCTGCCTTGCCTCCTTCGTCAGGCAGACGAGGAGGTCGGTTGCGAGCAGTAGAGTAAAACGGTCCCTTGTTCAGAAACCCTAAACCTTAAAATGCCACCCGAAAGCCACAAAGAGCCCTGAACTCTTGGATGGAGTGTGCGAAACCTTACAGCGGAGGCCTAACCCCTAAACCCCAAACCTTCAAACGATGGGGTTTGAAGTCTCGGGGTGTTTGAGATTGAGGCGGTTCATGGTTTGGGCTTTGTGCTGAAGGCGGTCTCCGAAACGCAACACCTGTGCTAGGGCCCTCCCTTCAGAATCTTTCTTCGAACCTTTGTTTAGGCATTGTGGCCCTTGGCCAGTGAGGGCGTGCTACTTTTGCTGGAGCTGGGTTTCAGGTATTTGTTGGATAAACTCAGGGGTCTTCCTAAACTCTAAAGACCTCGAAGTTCCGAATTCTATGTTCTAAACCCTATAAACGACGGTAAGCTCTAATTCCCAAGTCAATTTGGCCCTAAACCCTAAGCCCTAAACCATTGCTAGAAACTTAGAGTCGGCTCTGTTGGTAAACTTGCCCAAGCTCGCCTCAGCCGTTGTCGCTGCCACTACCGCTACCGCTGATGTAGCCTGTGATGGTTCTAGCGATGAGGACCAAGGCTCATAAGGACGATGCTAGTGATGACGATGATGATGATGATGATGATGATGAGGAGGAGGAGTCGTTTGCTTGATAGTCTTGCTTATTACTGTTGGTGTTACTGCAGCCGAAGCGGCGTTGCATTGGTATCGCATGACTATCTCCTCATACCTGCCTACTGAACACTCACTGCTGCACAGCGATCGTGGCTTTATTGCGGTCCCTTTGGCTCGAGCCGACGGGAACCTGTTCATGGGCTCCAGTGGCGGTGCCATGTGGCATTCAGGGGTATGGGTGGCTCTGGGTGCCATATGCATCGGTCGCGTCTGCTCGTATACTGGTGATCCCTACGGCGATGGTGCCGAGTTTACTGGTGATGGTGGCGGAGGCTTCGGGAACGGAGGCGATGGCAGCTACGGAGATGCAGGTCAATCTGGGGACGGCAGCTGGGGCGGTGCGTCCTCATGGGATGGAGAATCCTCAGGCTTCGACGGGGCGCAGGGCGGTGATGGTGCCCAGGCGGGAGACGGGGACCAGGCCGGAGATGGGGACCGGGCCGGCGACGGCTCACAGGCTGGCGACGGGTCGCAAGGCGGTTACGGCTCGCAAGGCTCACAAGGCTCGCAAGGCGGCTACGGGTCGCCGGCCAGCCAGGGCTCACTAGGCGGCAGTGCTGAAACTACACCGACCACTGCTGAGCCTGCCGCGCCTGCCGCGCCACCGGCCCCGCCTCCACCTGCTGCCCAAGAGCCAGGAGTCGTCCCACCTCCTCGGCCCACTACTACGACTACGACCGCCGAACTTGAAGAAGGTGCTTGGACAAAGTCGACCACCATGAACCATGTCCACGGAGAGACGACCTACAGACTCGGAGGCCCGATACATGCTCTTGATTTGAACGTTGGGGGGTGCTTTCTCGAAGAAGCCGAACATCTTGATACTGAAACGTCGAAATTCCCCTTGTTCATGCCCAGTCTGATTATCATTGGAGCTGAGACGCTGCCGGAACCACATCAGAATGAGGCAGTGACGTAGAGGGACACTTTCTCTGCGAGAGAGAGAGAGGGAACAGAGAGAGACAAAGAGAGAGAGAGA